ATGTGCACTAAAATTGGCGTACTTTAAACATGGAGCCAAGCACGCGGAAGAATTGTGCATGTATTCTGCAACATCAGCACTAAACACACTCTCTACAGTATTGCCAGCAGAGCTAATACCAGACAAATCAGGAACTACTTCTAAGTATTGCATCTTCGGTGTTCTTTTAAGAACCTGAACTAGTAAGGAAAGCGGCATGGTTGCAAATAGCAAGTTTAGATGCTGCAGATGTGGCATTTCTAGCGAATCTACCAATGATGCTGGAATTGCTTTCAGAATTGACCATTCGAAAGTGCTAATAGTCATGGACTTGGCCAGAGGCGCCATAGAAAGTAGGTCCTTAAATACCATCATTCTTTGTTCTAAGCTCTCGCCAATGTCATCTAGTTCCAACTCCAGCTCAATGTGGTCTGCTTGTGGGAGCCCATTTTTTGCAAATACTTTATTGCGACAGAGAGCCAGAGCTGCTTGGCCACAGATTGACATGTGTAGTCTTTTTAGCCGCCTATGCCCTGCTACCAACATCTCACAGTAGTCCCACTGTCTTACACTGCTGAATCTAAGATTCTCAAGGGCAGGGAAGGGATTAGCAGTTGGCATCACAATTGTTGGGAACAATTCGGAATAGTGATTACCATAGACAAACTGCTTCAATTGGGGATAGCACATATCCAAGCCTTCCTCATCGGCAAATAAAATCCCTAACTGTCTTGTGGTAACAATCTCAATTCTCAAATACTCCAATGTTGTGCTGCTTTTTCGAGCCAACTCTAGCAGCATATCTGGATTGCTGCGCTCACAAACCGAAAGCCGAGTCAAGTGGGTAACTGCAGGCACACCACTCAGAACAAATTTAAAGTCTAGGACATTGAAGGCAATCTTTGATTTGCTTGCAAAAAACCCGTTAATTATCTTGTCATAGTGTATGGATCTGACTGCTGTAGATTGGTCAGCCATACTTCTGCTTTTTATTCCTAAGCTCAGAGCATTTGGAAACATGCGATTCACTCCTTTAATAAACCTATCCACATTGATCGAGCATATTGCATCGTCTGGCACGTTGGATAGGTCTCCAATGGACAAGTTTATAGCAATCGATTCGACTTGTGCAAATGTCGCCTTGCCATATCTAAAATCAGGTAGCATCGCCAACGCAGCGCCATTTACAATGTATTCATATGACATGTCGATAATAATATTACGGACGTGCACGTTTAGGCCATAGTTGATAACCTCTTGGACTGACAAGCCAGCATGCAGTGAGTACTTTGGCCTTCCGATGTTACTGCTGCATAGCATGTACGCCTGCTTGGAAAGAGCCTGTAGGGACATAAACCTTAGCGACTGGCTTACACTTAGTGTTTTAAGCAGGTTTCGTCCTCTCATTACATACCACTCGTAGACTGTAGCATTCTCTCTATGATCAAACACCTCATCTTTTGATAGAATGCGAAAGATAATGTGAGAAGGAAGGTCTAAAAGACTATTAACGGGCAGCATAAGAGGTAATAATGTAAAATAGTAAAGAGCCAAAGCATAGTTTGCTTTGGTGTGGACTACGCCAGGGAATAACAACCTTTTGCCCCACTAAAAAAGCACTTTAAAAGAACACACTCAAAGCAGCCAAAAAGAAGTCGCTTGGTCTTTTTGCCCCAATAGAAATAAAAGGGTTGTCTTTGTCTTTGGCATCCATTAAATAGTACAATGCACGTTTGGCCAAAAAGCGGGCAGCAAGAATGCATTGCTGACAAGGCATAAAAGTGCAGCTCTAGAGCCAGCACACCACTCCAGCTGAGGTGCCTCTAGCTCACTAGAATAAACAGTTGTGATAACAGTAGTTGCGAGAAGCTTTGCTCAAGTGTTACCTGCCGCCCAATACTCGACTTGACCTAGTGTGCTTGAAAACGTCAAATACAAACAATTGATGACAGGCATGGAATTATTCTCATTTGCATGCAGACGGTGGTGTAGAGGATAAAAAAAAGTACATAACGGGCTGCTAATAGCAAGAGGAGCAGTGCTGTGTCACTGTTTGCCTTAAAGTAGCAATGGTGGACTACAAGCATAGAAATTAAGCGCCAACGTTTTTTTTTTTTTTGGCACAACAAAGGTGCTATATTTTGATATCGCGAAAGTAAAAAAATAAATTATCTACCAGATAAAGACATGTTCCCTCTTGGCGTATCCTGCGGTTGAGAAGACGAGGCGTTAGAGATTGATGGCGGAGTAGGAGTGGCGCTAGAGGTGTCGGCGCCCTGAGAAGAAAGAAGGTCGTTAGAATCAATGTTGTGGCTGCTGTCCAGTGTGTGAGGTGAGGGGTGGAAAAATAACTTCCCGCTGAGCTCGTTTTCACCTGGATCAAAGTGGTACCACCGGTTCGACACCAATAACCAGCGTTTGTGGAAAGAGTGAGCAGCCTTGAGTTGCGTGAAAGCGTAAATGAAGTCGTGCGTTATGCGTTGCATGAGCGACATTTTCCAGCGGATAAACATGGCCTCGCTGGAGTGTTGGATGCCATCCAGAGATAATTCCGCACGAGCGCGATAAATCTCCCACACTGCCAGTCCATGAAGAGCGTCGGCATTAGGCAGCCTTTTACTCCAGGTACCGAAACCCATCGCGACCATACGCAAGTCGACCTGAAAGGCCAAAATTAAGCGCCAACGCAAGCATATTGCAATTATGCATGCTTTGGCTTATTAATGTTCTATGCAAAGATCGGATATCAAGAAGTTGGCTATCTAGCTTCAGACAGCATAGGCCGTATGGCCCAATGGATAAGGCGCTTGACTACGGATCAAGCGATTCCAGGTTCGAGTCCTGGTACGGTCAACAATGCTGATTCTTTTTGCCCTTCATTTGTGTGGTTAAGCGGCATCATTGCAAGGTCTTTTTTTTGTCGAGTCTGTCGCTCTGCGCCCGTTAGAGTACGTCTGCTATGCTGTCTTTTTTGTTAGTCTATTTTTAGCCCTACAGCAAGAGTACTTGCAAGTATAAATAGCATAAGCCCGTGGATTGAACGCCATGAATCGTGTTTTTGACCACTAATGGAACATCCTGCGTGGTTTCGTCGCAAGGCGCACTTGCGCTAGTTTTTATTAGAATATACCTTCGCATGAAGGCATCTGCGAGGGGCGTCATTGAAACTGGGCAAATCCAGCCCATTTTTAGCAAGGCCGGCGCTACTGCTTTTTGTCACTGACATGCGCCACTATAGATACCCCGTGGCCATAGTAACACAAAGAAGTATGTGGTGTGTAGTCCAATACTACAGGGCTTAATGGTCTAGCGGTATGATTCCTGCTTTGGGTGCAGGAGGTCCCGGGTTCAAGTCCCGGTTGAGCCCTTTTTTGCGCCCTCGCTTTCTGCTGCACGTGACTGCGGCTCTCTTTTGCTGTTCATGCGCGAAGGAAGGCCGAGGAAGCAAGCCGCCCCTCCTTCTCACTCGAGTGTTTGCACTTTTGAATTTATTCTCTTTTTTGGTTAATGTCGTTTGTAATTTCTGATTCAGAGGGCGAAGAGAGCCACCAGGCGCCGCCACCTCCAAAGTTCCGGCCACGTGTAGTCAACCGGCCAACACCTGTGCGGGCTCGCCAGGCTTCCAACGGCGCCAGCAACGCCAGTGGCACAACAAGGGCCGCAGACAAAGGCGTAGCCTTGCACTTGTCAGACTCTGACGACGACAGTGGCTCCGACGACACCAGCTTCTTCCGCATAGCTCGGCCCAGCCTGGGACCTGCGAGTGCTATTGACGCCGACAGTTTGAGCAACAGTGGCAGTGGCAGTGGCAGCGAGCGAGAAACACCCAACGCATCTGCCAGTGCTCCTCCACTGCCAGTAGCGAGCCCTCTCCAAAAGTCGGCTATTGACTGCAGCGATAGCGATAGCGACAGCCAGGATGACAGTGTCGGCAGCAGCAGTGTCCAGCAACGCCATGGCAGCGCCGAAAAGCGCAAGCACTCGGGCAGCTCCGACCAGACAGATCGCTCTAGGCCGCAGAGATCGCGCAGTGTGTCCCTGACCCCGCCGCCCGAACCACGTCGGGCCAGTGCAGCTCCGAGGCCAGTGGCTCGACAGGGCAGCACAGAGCCCGCAGTCCAAGTGCTGGACTCTGACAGCGACGTCGATGTGGTTGCTGCAAAGTCTCCATCGCCGCAGCAGCGCTTGCGCATGGAAGAGTCGCTTGACCTGGATCCAGCTCTGCGAGCTATAGTGCAGAGTAGCGACGCCATGGGGCGGCAAGTAGCGGGCCCGGCCACGATAGATGTTACAGCGGCAAAGGCTCACATAGAGTTCCACTTTGTCTATGACGAAGAGTTCCTCCAGTACGATTTGCCGCGGGTCTGGGAGCCCAAGCGATGGGACAATTTGTCGCTCGCCCACCGCCCCAAGGTCACAAAGCGCTTGGATGAGGTTGTAGTGCCAGCGCTCTCTCGGCCCCTACTCCACTGCCAAAACTTTTCGTGTAGTACTATTTCCCCACTCGGCTTAGCAAACTTTTCTCAGCCCCCCTCCATTTTCACCTCTTCACTCTGTAATTTCGCTTTGAATTCATCATGCAGTCGTCTATACCTATTAACCGCAAAAGCAGGCAGCTACGCCTGACAAGCCAAGAAGCCCCGCATGAGGGCTCGTATCCACCAAGGATGAGGCGCGAGATTGTCGTGCCTCCCAGCGGCATGCACAGAACTGGAGATAGCGTGGGCCGGTCGACTCAGCGCCCTCCGAAGCCTGCCTTCCGTACAACAAAGACGTCGCAAAAGCTCAAAATCTTGCCTGAAGACGAAGAGGGTGGGCCCAGCACCGATGTGGACGACTATCTAGGCTTGACGGGTGTTTATGACCAGATTGAGCACATGCGTGGAGCACAAGACTTGAGGAACGAGATTACACGGCTTAAAAACTTGCCCATGGGTAGCTTGCCCAGAGTGACGGCCTACGCCACGGCGTCTTCGTATACAATGACTTTGCTATTCAAGTGGATTCAATCGCGCAAGGATCAGAACGACACTGCGCCCAAGCTGCTCGACGAGTGCATCTACTCGCCGTTCGTATACGGGCCCTCAGAGGCCATCACAATCAACATGGACGAGGTCCTTATCGACGACGACAGACAGCACGCCGAGTTTAGCGAGACCTATATCCCAATCAAGAGCGAGATCTTCATTTTCGACTATGGCGTAATCGTGATCTGGGGCATGGACGAGCGGCACGAAAGGGAGTTTTTGCAAGAACTTGAGCCATTCGAGGTGGAAAAGATCGACGAAGACGACATTGAGATGGAGGAGCTCGAGTTTTACATTAACCCCAACGCGCAGTCGCGAATCTACAACGATGTCATTTCGCTGCGCACTACAAAAGGGCATATGGCCAAGCTGGCTATTTCGCATGCGATTGCTCAGGCCACAAAGCTCTCGCTCTACGAGGGCCTAGTTGACGAGACTATTGAGGCTACCCGGCATATACCGCAGCGTATGGCAGAGTCGGGCACGGTGGAAATGACGCGCAAGGGCTTGATTAGAAAGATTGGCCAGCTATTCATTATGCGCGTGAACGTCAACTTGGTCAGCAACATTCTAGACACGCCAGAGATCTTTTGGTCCGAGCCCACTCTCCAGCCGCTCTACGCTGCTATCCGCGAGTACTTGGAGATTCCTCAGCGCGTAGAGATTATGAACCATCGAGTCAGCGTCATCAGCGATCTCCTCGACATGCTCAACGGGCACTTGAACGGGATGCACGGCGAGTTCTTGGAGTGGATCGTGATCATTCTTATCGGTAAGTCTTGCTTATGCTTCTTGTATGCAACTTTGTCTAGCTGTACTCATAATTTTCTTGTGCGAATCTCTTGTTGCTGCTTCTCACACTCCGCACCCCACCTTCTAAAACTACTACTGCGCTTCATTCGCTGTAGTTGTCGACATCTTTGTAATGATGTTTGAGTGCCTCGTGTTCGCACTTACAGATTAAGCGCATCACCTGCTTATCACTGTCTTACTGATATCTATCGTCTCTCTACTCTGGCTATACTTGTACTCTCGCCCGCTACATTCATCCTTTCTCATGATCGACCGCCGCTTGCTTCGATCTTTGGGCTCGTTATCTTGATGCGTGCGGGGTGTGAATGAGGGGCATGTAGGTGTCGAGATCATCATTGGTGTCGTCACTATCACGGTCGAGGCCGCCAAACTGTCGTACTGAAAAAAGTATGCGCGCCATTTTGTACACTTTCCTTGTGCTAGCAAGCCCTTTCTTAATTTGTCCCCCTCGTCCGAAAAAGGTTGGGCTTGGCAACCTTTTTTCTCCCCTCTGGTTTTCAATATTCATAAATGTCTCCGTCAGTTTTGCGCTTTTTTATCATTGATGCCTTTACAAAAAAGTCATTTGGCGGCAATGCAGCTGGAGTAGTTTTGGTGCCGCATTGGCGAGACATCGACCACAACACGATGCAGAGCATAGCCAGCGAGATTAACCTTCCGATGACAGCGTTTGTGCGACCTACGACCAAAGAGCTTGGCAAAAAATACACACTGCTCTGGTTCAACTCTATGGAAAAGGTTGCCTTTTGTGGGCATGCCACGCTGGCCGCCGCCCATGTCCTGTTCAACATCCTCGACCTTGACATCGACGCCATAGAGTTTGACTCTCCCGTCGGGTTGGTTCCCGCGTGTAGAGGGGAGGACGATGCTATTACACTATGCTTTTCGAGCAATCCGCCAGAGAAAGTGCAGCCCACCAACAACCACTACCTACTATTACACGCGCTGGTTGGAGAGCAACTGGCGGCAACTCGCGAGGTCGCATTCTACTACTCACGCACGGTCAACGATTTGCTGATTTTAATCGAGACTATGGCAGAGCAAGAGCTGGCATCACTACAGTTCAATAGCTCGCCAGCAGTCGCTGAGGCTAGCAGGGAATTGGGAATACGCAGTGTGGTCTATGTGACGCCTGGTGTGAGTCACGGAGATAAGGACAGCATTACTCGAGTATTCAATACTGGCTCATCAGTGACGGAGGATCAGGTTACTGGATCGGCGCACACGGTGATCGCTCCGCTATTCAGCACGCTGTTTGGCAAGTCGACGTTGCAAGCTCGCCAGTGCTCTCCGCGCGGAGGCGACATGAAGGTGGACTTGCACGGCGATTCAGTACTAATCACAGGTAGTGCTGTTACCATCGTCGAGGGCACGCTATTGTCGTAGAAACTATTGTTTTCCACTAGTGTCTCATCAATTTAGTCGAGCAGCGTGGGAGCCACCATAGGCATTAGTCAGCAGCGGCATATGCCTTGGCTATATAGTCTAAAAAACACACCAAACCTTTTTGTACTCGTCTTAAAATCCAATCTTTGGTCTCCTTTACTATGCCTCAGTACCGAATTGTTACAGTGGACGCCTTCACCAAGGTTGCATTCAAGGGCAACCAGGCCGCCGTAGTAGCAGTCCCCTCAGACAGCCCGATAGATGACAAAACGATGCAAGCTATAGCGGCCGAGATGAACATATCAGAAACAGCTTTCATCACGCCACTGATGCTCCAAGGCCCGGAAGAGTTCCAGCAATCACGAGTGTTTGGGCTGCGCTGGTTTACACCCACCTGCGAAGTCAAGCTCTGTGGCCATGCCACACTAGCCGCCGCGCACGCGTTAAAGTATGAGTTGGGCAATGAGCGCGAGAAGGTTTATTTTGAGACTGCCAGCGGCACACTACTGGTGTACTCAGGCCTCTACAACTCCTACAACATGTCGCTTCCCGTCGATCCACCCGCGCCCATGTCAGTAACAGACGATGTAAGGACCATAGTGGCTGGTATTTTGGGCGAATACAAGTCGACAGTTCAGGTAGAGATATCGCCGTCCCTTCGGTACATGGTAGTCTACGATCCAGAGAAGACGGGCGAGGATATTGCTCGGCTAGAGCCCAAGCTGTCACCAGAGTTGGTGGCAGCTGGCAAGCGCGAGAATGTCATCGGCGTAATTGCCACAGCCAAGAGCTCGAGCCATGATTTTTGCAGTCGCTTCTTTGCTCCCTGGTGTGGCATAGACGAGGATCCTGTCACCGGCTCAGCCCACACAGTCTTGGGACCGTTTTGGCAAGAGAGGCTTGGCAAGAAAAAATTCGAGGCCTACCAGTGCTCAAAGAGAGGCGGCGAGGTATATGTTCAAACGGAGTTTAACGATGACGGTGATGTAGACATCTACGGCGATGCAGTTACTGTAGTCAACGGCACAATTAATTTTTAAGAAAAGATTCATGGCGAGAACAAAAACTGCATGTCCTGTGCCGACAAGTTATCCAGAGACTTGGAGTCGCGCCCAATAGTAGAGTTGACCAAGTGCTGCTT